ATTTCAATTCACTCTTTTGCGAATAGCTTTAAATAGCAATCAGCAACAGATACGACCGTGGTAAATGTTTAAGCAAGTGCTACCGAGATCAAGAAAGCTTCGGCGACTATGAAATTTATCTTGAGTTAGGCAAAGTTTAGTATACCTGCAAAAACCGCTTTCAAAGGCGTGATCACAAAACACCTTTCACATTCTGGCTATGTTTATCGAATGAACGTAACAAAACTCTGCTTAGCAAAGCCTCTTACCAACCAGCAATCATCACTTTGGAGCATCTTGACAGCCTTTTACACAAGAAATAATTTACAAGCAAGGTGCATGCCAAGACAGGGTCCAACAAACTTTGTGGCCTCAAAGCACTTTGATACTATCGAGCGATATATGCAGCGCTTGCTATTGATCACAAAGAGTTTACAGATTAAACTACTTCGAGGTAAAAAACGTTGTTAGCTGAGCCTGCGGGCGTTAGTTAGGCGTTAATGACGCGCAAACCTTTTCGGGCTAATGAAACGCGCAGAGCTAATGAGCACATCATGGAAGAGATTACATTGTACGAGTTTTTCAGAAAAAAAGGAACATTGCAACAACATGAGCTGTAGTATCTGGAAAGAGTTGCTCGAGCCAATCTGAATGACTATTTGCAAATAAAGTAACTACCGTTCCAACAATTACAATCCTTGACAATTAATTCCTCACAGAAGTGGTGATATGACGAGCTAAAAGATATCACTCGAAAAATAGGCCCTGTTGAATGTGTCGATGTTTATCAAAGGCATAAATTGGCTAAGCTTTTAGACGTAAACGAAGACTGGCATGTTTATTAGACATACATCATTCTCTGGTTAGCTGAAATGGGGAAGCTGCACCAAGCTGTGAGAAAGACAAGTTCTGGTGCTAAAGAGTTAAACATCAAAATTCTCAATGTTTCCTTTTAAGAGGAAGTGTTAAGCTCAATGTCACGATTGCGCCCCAAAATTTGGTTCAATCCAAAAAGATTTTCTTTAATCTAAAACCTCAGCTAAGAGTGCTGCCATATGTAGCTTCATTAAAATATGGACTATGGAGCACATCAGCAGCCTACTCATGAAAGACCGTATCAGAGTTACCTAAATAAAGACAAAGTCTTCAATTTTAAAAACCTGTACAAAAGAACGCATTTAGTAGGCGGGGAGAGGGGGTGGGACCAGAAGGGGATTATATTCACCTGATTGTTCAGCATTTCTAATACGCTCAAAGTAAGCCAAAAAAAGGGCCATCTTACAAGATGTCCCAATGCTCTGTAAAGTCTTTTGACACAAATTATTCATACACAAAGGCTGGCTTGAGCTTAGAATTGCAGAAGTTGATATTGTATTTACATATCTTCAGTATACATGTAAAGTGAAAATGCTAAGTAATCTACGAAGATGTGAGTATAATCAATGGCGAGGGGTTTTTCTCCCTAAGCCCTAAAAAACCCCTCGCCATTGATTATCCTAAAAAATAGCCCT